GGTGACAGAAAATCCGTATTTCGTTAAACCACAACGATAACTTTCTCACAGGTAACTTTCACGAATTACCAAAAAACCAAACTCACACGTATTGGAGTCTTCTGTAAGTCCGAAATTAGAATTTGACGAATCTATTCCTCCTTTCCTCGGCAAACCGTTCTCCTTGTCGGAACCAGTCTTCCCTTTTTTCTTCTACAAAGTACATTCATTCTTAATTTGAGCATCCACTCTGATTAATTTTAATCAGCATGAATTATTGTTCTTGCGTGAAGTACCTGATCTAGTGTCGATATCGGAACCCATTTATATATTTTCATAGTCGTTTCTCCTATTGTGACCCATTTTTTCTCCCTGCGACCACATACAAATTCAGAATTCTGTTATGTATTTATTACATAAGTAACGATTTTCAATAGAACGTAAAAGCAAAAACATTCGTTATTCATTACACAATAAAGGAAAAAATTCGTCATTTTTCAGAGCCAAACTATATGTTACTATACGTTTGTCCTTGTTGCTGTGACAGACTCTATCACTCTATCTGAAGCTCAGCTAGGAAATCGTTGATCGAATTGACGATATTCTTATCCGAGAACGTACGTTTCCAGCGGATTAAAAACATGACAGCACAGTTCCTACATAATTTTAATACTCGAAACGGGCATTTCAATTTCGAACATCAGCGACTGGCCACGCAGTCTCTCATTAGCGTTTTCGCGTGCACGCCCTTACGCGACAATTGAAACGGGGACGAAAGCACTTGTCCCACGATTTTCGCACGATTCACGATTCCTTTTCCGAGAAGCCAAGCGCCGAGAAACGAGCGATAAACGACAAACGGCACGCGTGCCGGCGATTCCCTTCCGCCTTTCTCTCACCCTTCGACACGGCACAGGGAAACTTACCAATGGCGAACTTTATCAACCACTTGCATCACACGTTTAATGTCGTCCTTGGCGCGACTACGAGTCTCCGCGCGCACCGACCGCGACATCATGTTATTGTTCACGCGCGAATTTAATCACCGGTAATCGATTATTGCACCAGTTACGCGGCACCAGAGACACCGGGACATCCGTGAGTGCCGCGAAGAGGTTAGGAAAGTGACAGGCAGAGAGAGAACAAGAACCTCTACCACCCGCAACTCATATCCCGCGACCCGCAGGTTCCGACTTCTGCCCCCCGTTTCCTCTTGCCGAGCCTCCTCCATCAAGCTCGACACGCTTATGTTTTTAGGTTCTTGCGATTGGTCGCCCGACTTGTAGATTTAGGGAATTTTAGACATTGTAGACACTAGACTTGCGACGACAGAAAATTCGCGGCGGTCAATTTCCCTAGGAATAGAGCGACTGGACGAAAATCAAAC